TGGCTAAGCCCGGAGCCTGACACGTGGCTCAACAGCAGGGGTCCAGAGCGTCTGGCTCTCGATCTCAGTTCAGGTCTCCATCTCAGGGGCGTGAGTTCAAGCCCCATGTTGGGCTCCAAGATGGTCATGGTACTTACTTTAAAAATTTAAATAATAAAAAAAGAACATTCTGGGGGCACCTGGATGGCTCAGTGGGTTAAACCTCTGCCTTCAGCTCAGGTCATGATCTCAGGGTCCTGGGATCGAGCCCCACATGGGGCTCTCTGCTCAGTGGGGAGCCTGCTTCCTCCTCTCTCTCTCTCTCTCTGCCTGCCTCTCCACCTACTTGAGATTGAAACAAATAATATCTTTAAAAAAATAAATAAAATAAAATAATAAAAAAAAGAACATTCTGGAATTGAGTAATGTCCAGAAGCCTGTTCTCAGAGGATGGATGGAGCCGCTTGTAAATACAGGAGGATTTCAAGCTAGAGTCTTCATCCCATGAAAATGGCGGCTTGGAGTCCAGCGGTCATCAGAGACTGAACCTTTCCATCAGCTTGGTTCCCGCAGACCAGGGAATCCTGATAAATGATGAGGAGGAGACTCCCGGGAGCGCTCGCCGGTGCCCCACCCGGGTGTCATCTCCACATCCAGCCGTCTCCTGGGTCCCCTCAACACTGCTGTGATACACTCTTCTTACTTCTACACTGGAAGAAATGGGGGACACTGAGTCCAAGAGTTGGCCGAATTTGTCCCTCCAAGATGCCCACGGCCGCGAGGGCTGGAATCCGCCGGGCCAGTGTGACCCCAGTGTCCAGAGCTCACCCTGCTACATGACCTGCATTGCCCTATTTTCTGTATTCCCCGAGCCCCGGGATCTGGGCCTGGCTGACTGGGGAGAGACTGTCCCTCTCGGGGCCAGCCAACCCCCAGAGACAGCAAAAGGGCCTTTCCCATGCAAAGGAAGCAGCCCAGACCCACATTCCACGCCCCTTCTCCTGCCATCGCTCTGCCCAGGGACCAGACAACCAGAGACAGCCCTGGACGCCAGAGCCTGCCAAAGGTATTCAAACCAATTGATGTCCATCCCGCTTGCCTTGCCTCTCTCCTCGAAACCCCAATAAAGTCTCCTGCCTGTGCACCCCCCTTTCCAACCCACCTGGTGCTCGCCCACGTGGCCCTGTGTGGTGTGGGCACCCTGACCTCTTGGAAACCTCGAGTGGCAGGCTATCTTTTCAATGGCAGCATCTCCCAACCTGTTGACCTCACCGTGTGAATAAGAACGAAATCCTACCTTGGACCACCTCTCAGCCTATAATAAAACCCACCCGGCAGGACAGAGAGCGCCTAGTGCAATGACATTTTAGAAAGCACCACGGAGTCTCTCTCGTCAAGCAGGGGCGTGCGTCAAGCCGTGAGGTGACACACCAGGCTCTCGGGGGTCCTGCGGTAGCCCAGCACCGGCCGACCACAGCCCGGAAGCGACAACCAGCAGAAGCGGAGGAGGTCCGCAGGGCCCAGGACTGATGCCAGCCCTTTACAAAGGGAGGATTTCACAGCAAACCGTCACTTCTCAGACCCTGACCCCTGCGTGTGTGGCCACTTCAAACGGCAGCTGCTGCACGGGGCTCTGCCCGACTGATCTCCAGAAGGAACCGAGACCCCTCCCTGCTGGGACAGAAGCAGCAGTAAGCGCCGGAGCTGACCCGGACCGACGGAGACCTTATCTCCACGGTACACTCACAGACTGACGTCACGTGGAGTTGTTCGCTTCTATGTCCTGTCCTGCCTAAAGTGCCATGTGGCCCATCTCGTGCTGTGCTCTGTGTGACCTGTAAGAAGCCAAGGTCAACATGTGGGGAGATGTCACTGAGTTTGGAATCCTGACCCTGCCTCATCAGCATGTTGACCTTGAGGAATGAATAAAGCCGGCGTTGGGAAAGACACACTGTTGGTGTGCGGGCTTTGGTCGCATGCTCCGGACACGGTGGTCCGCGAGGTGCCGTGGTCTGACCATAGAGGCAGGGGCATCGAAGAACCGCCTAGCCCACGGGCCGGGTTGCTCCAACGACAGATGCTTAATTCTTCCAGTTCCGCACGCTGGAAGTCGAAGGTTCCCCTTGGACTTGGCCCGATTTGGCCCCAGTGAGAGCTCGCTTCCCAGCGTACAGGTGTCCCCTCCTGCTCATGGCGTGCTCGCGTGCCTGTCCTCAGCTTGCACGCAGGGACCCCGCTCTGCTGCTGCCACTTCTAAGGACCCAAACCTCCCAAGTCAGGTGCCGCCCCTTATGTCCCTCAATCTTCATGACCTCGCAGAGCCCAGCTCCAGAAACCATCACTCTGGCAGGTACGGCTTCAACATATGATTCTGGGGGATACAACAGACAATATAATAGTGATTATAGCGGTTAAGTCTCTGGAGACCCCCATCCCTCGTAGCTGACATCAGAGGCAGCACCCTGGCCAGGAGGAGCCTGGGGACTGTGATGACTTTTCTTGGGGCTGAAGCCCGTATTCACGGTCTGCTGGTAGGACACGACATTGGACACTGGGAAGGCCACAGAAAATCTGGGACACACGATGTGAGCTGAGCCCAGCCAGCTTGTCCTTCCATGGCTGTCTGCTTTTTCGGATCAGTGCCAACGCCTGGGACCATTAGGGGGCCGAGCTTGATGGCCAAGGTACCTGGGCGGCTTCAGCAGCAGAAACAGATTCTCTCCCAGCTCTGGAGGCCAGAGGCCCAAGACCAGGGTGTGAACAGGGCTGGTTCCTTCTGGGGGCTGCAGAGGAGAGTGTGCTCCCCACTTCATAAGGACACCAGTCGTGCTGGACTTAGGGCCCACCGTAAGGACTGCACTGTAACTTGATTACATCTGCAGAAGGCCCTGTTTCTAAATAAGGTCACACCCCGCGGGGACTGGGGTTCGGGACTAGGACATGTGAATTGGGGGAATACAGTCAACCCGTAACAGGCAGCCTGTCTGTGAAGGTCACCTCCAGTGGAAGGTGATAACGCTCTGGGGATGGGCTCAGCCAGCCTTTTCCCAGGTCATAGTCCCCTGTGGCGTTGGCAGGGGGGATGGACCCAGGCCTAAGTGCGGTTCCAGCCCCAGGGGTACTCTTCTGAAGAGGTAATAATCAGGGCACAGAGGTGCACACACACCTGGGTCTGGGGGGCCCCAAACACACCAGGCTCAGCCACAGATTCTTTCTGTTCTTTCTCGGTGAACCACTTTCTGGGAACCTCCTGGAGCCCACCCACTTGCCTCTCCGGCCACCCTCTCCCCAAGGGACCTGGCAATCAGCGGCCTCTTCCTAATCAGCTCAGAGCAAGCCTCCAGGACAGCACTCTGTGTCCTCTCCCAGGAAGGGCAGGTCTGTCCTGGAAGGACAGGGTGGGAGTGGGGGTGGGGCTCAGGTCCCCTCCCCCGCCCCGACACAGTGGCGAGGCGCCCCACCCATCACCTGGCTGGCCTGGACGCTGAGGATCTTTTCAGCAGACTGGTGGTTTCGCAAGGTCTTCACTATCTGTCCCCAGGAAAGAGGTTTGAGGACAGATCATTCGTCCCCAGGAAAGAGGTTTGAGGACAGATCATTCGCAGGAACGGTGCTCACGAAATACTGACATTCCCTTATCTGCCCACCTGAGTGATCTCCAGAGCACCTGCAGCTGAAAAGGGGCCCCCAGGGCCAGACTCGGTTTACCAACTTCTCCAGGGGACTCTGCCATGACTATCCTGATGTCCATGGGTGCCCTGGGAGTGAGGACCTTTCCAAAGCCCAGTGAAAAGTGAACTCACCAAAATGTCATGCCCAGGGTTTTGACCTCAACCTGGGCCCTCTGTCAAGGAGGAGGGTACTAGAGCCTGGGGTCCCAGAGGCCTGTCAGCCTCTTACCCCCTAAGTGCTGTCGGTTTACCTGGGCTGAAGGTGGGAGGGGGGTAGGGATGAAGAAGGGGGCGGTGCGCAGGAGGTTTGTCCAGAAAAGCAGAGGGGTGGGAGGTGAGAGATCAAGGTGGGGAGGGGTGAGGTCCATGGCAGAGTCACGAGGCCTCCTGAGAGCCAAGGGTCGCTGAACTAAGGGAGGAGGACGGAGAGCAGGCAGTGAGGACAGCGGCTAGCTAGCATGTCTGGCCCCCACAGGCCCCAGGGCTCTGGCCCAGCAGCACCTGTCCCCGTGCCTGTAAGGCCGGGTTTCTCTTCCTGCTTCCTCCTCTGGGAAGCTGGATGAGAGTCGGCCCCATCCGGCCTTGGGGAGCTTAAACATGTTCATGGGGCCGTGGGCTTAGCACACAGTAGGCGCTCCATGTCGCCCTTAGCATTAATCAGGATGTCCCTGCTCTCGAAAAGCTGAACCGCTGAGGCCCTCCCCTCCTTCCCGCCTGGGCCAGCGCCTGCCGCCCGCATCGGCCTTGCCCCCAAGACAGATGGGTTCCAACACGAGCCGCCCAGGGACCCGCATCACCCAGTCCTATAGCGTGAAGCCCCCGGGGAGCAGCGCGGGAGCCTCATGGGATGGGGCGCAGGGACTCACGCCTAACGGCGGGCTCTGAAGGCAGAGACCGGGCGCGCGGGGGTGCGTGCGTGGCTTGCCGGGGCGTCCTGCAACGGGAGGGTCGGCCACGTGCCCGCGGCTGGGGGTCCCCAAGGGTGACCTGGCATCGCGGAGAGGTCCGCCGTCAGGCCGCTGCGGGGGTGGGGGGGCGCGCCCCCAGACGGGCGCCCCGGGAGGGCAGGGCGGGCGCTGGCCAGGGCTTCCCCGCGGGGCGGCGTGGTGGCCGGAAGGACGGCGCCCGGGCGCTGCGGAGGGGTAGGGGCTGGGGGGGGGCGGGCGCGCGGGGGCGCGCGGGGCGGGGGCGGGGCTCCGCGGAAGCCCCGCCCCCGCGCCGAGCGGGACCCGCGCTTCCAGGCCGCGCTGAGGTCACAGGGAGGCGGCCCGCCCCGAGCCGAGCGCCTGCCCCGAGCCGAGCGCCTGCCCCGAGCCGAGCGCCTGCCCCGAGCCGAGCCGAGCCCCGCGGGCGGCGGACACGCGCGCGGCCGCGGCGGGCCCGGCATGGAGGCGGAGTGCCGGGTGCTCTCCATCCAGAGCCACGTCGTCCGCGGCTACGTGGGCAACCGGGCGGCCACGTTCCCGCTGCAGGTAGGCGCCGCCGGACCCCGAGCCCCGACCTTGGCCCGGCCGTCCGGCCCGCGCTCCTCCGCCGAGCGTCAGGCCCCGCGGGAGCCGTGGCGCACTGTCCGCCCGCGCCCCTGCCTGCTGCGGCTCCCGGGGGGGACGGGGTGGGGAACGGGGCGGGGGGGGGCGGCCTCCTGACCCTGCCCCGGGCGGGGGCGCAGGACGCGGGGAGGGCGGGTGCTGGCCGCGCACCTGCCGGGGACGCCGAGCCAGCTGGTGGAGTCCGGCTCCCGCCGGCCGCGGTGGGTCCCACCTACGGGGACTCTTCCGGGACGTGGTCCGGGGCAGCGGGCGGGGCTGCGAAGGCCTCCCGGCCGGTGTCGACACCAAAGGAGACCCGGAGACAGAACCGGGCCCCTGCCCTTGGGCTTCAGAAGTCGCTTTTCAAATGTTGTAGAGCCTCGACTTCCTGTCGGGCTTGCTCCCGCCTCTCGGGCTTGTCCTTGGGGGGTCTCCCAGGCCAGGAGCCCACTGCTTCCTGCTGCAGCCCCAAGGTTATGGCTGGGTGGCCCGGCGAGGGGCAGGAGGAGGCCTGGATGCCATGGGGTTTCATGCCAGCCCAGAGGCAATACCAGGGTAGGGGCACGCCCCTGCCGTGCTTGCCCCGCAGGAGTGCTGGGTGGTCACAACAAGGTCGTGGCTCTCCTGGACTGCCTGTTTTGGCCTCTTGTCCCTGGCGGGCACCCCCAGGGCAAGAAGCAAGTGTGGCTGGGTCCCTGCGTGCCCCTAGCTCCTTGGAGAAGGGGGAGCTCTGCTTCTGGGTGGATTGTGTGGACACGCTCCCTGGGGTGGTCCTGTGCTTGGGGACAAAGGTGCAGGGTCTGTGCAGCAGGGGCCCACCCAAAAGGCAGGACCAGGAAGGGCTCTTGAGAACAGCGTCAGCCTGCTGTCCCGTCAGAGGAGCAGCCCGTGCCCTTCTTGGCCAAGGAGTCGTGGGAGCTGCCCTTGGCAGAGGTGTGCGGGGCCCCTGCTGGCTTCCCTGTGTCCTGTGCCCAGTCCCTCCTTACTGTCCAGCCACACACACTCCCTTGTTTCTCCCTGCACTGGGCAAACCGTTCCCCTCCTCGGCTCACCTGGGTCGCCCCGTAATGGCACCCTTTTTCCTTCCAGGCGTGTATTCTGAACTTCCACACCGAGGTGTCTCTGACCAGAGCTGTGGTTCTTGCCTGGGGTTTTTTGTTTTTTGTTTTTTTGTCTTTTTTGTTTTTTTTTTAAAGATTTTATTCATTTGACAGAGATCACAAGCAGGCAGAGAGGCAGGCAGAGGGGGAGGAGGAAGCAGGCTCCCTGCTGAGCAGAGAGCCCGATGCGGGGCTGGATCCCAGGACCCTGGGATCATGACCTGAGCTGAAGGCAGAGGCTTAACCCACTGAGCCACCCAGGCTCCCCTTACCTGGGGTTTTTTTACTGCCCGGCATCCTCACCCGTGTGCCGGGGCCGTGGGACATAGGCTGGGGCAAGGGTGGTGGTCCTCTCATCTCCTTCGCACTTGTCGTAGGGCTGGAGGGGCTCTGCCTCTGATGCAACCCATCCCAGCACTTCCTTCTAGGCTGGTGAGGCCCAGGAGGCGTTTGGCAGGGGTCTCCGAAGGCAGGAGCCTCGCTTCCACTCTGAGCTCACTTGCTTCATCTGTAGAATGGGCGTGATGCCTGCTCCTGGGTTGTTTTAGGGCCAGGAGAGTTGGGACATGGGAACACCCCTTGGAGGTGCTGGCTACTGAATGAGGTGGGCCAGCGTGCCTGGGGTGCCGTGCTCACCCCCCAGCGTGCAGGAGGACCGGACAGGGTTGGCATCTCGTGGAGGCCGGGACCTCTGCCAGGAGGGGATGTGGGTTGGCTTTTCAGTTCTTACCTGTGTGTGTCTTTTGCCCTAATTTCCTCCTCTTCCTGCTGATTACCTAAATAAGATACAGTATTGGGGGATGGAGAGGGCTGAGGAGGGGAGAAAGCCAGGGGTGGTGGTCCTCCGAACGTGCTCCCCGCTGAGCCGGACCCCGGACAGGGCAGCGTCAGTGTGTTCGGGCGGCTCAAGCCGTAGCGTCTGTGGCCTCAGTTCTGGAGGCTGGAAGTCCAAGACCAAGGTGTCAGCATGGCTGCCTTCCCCCCTCCCCCGCCCCAGCGGCGTCTGCGTGGCGTGTGGATGGTGGAGTCACCTGGTTCCTCTGTGCACGTCTGTCTCCTCACCTCTTTTCTCGTGGGGACATGGGTCAGAGTGCATCGCCGCGACCCCAGTGACCCCGTTCTGCCTTAAGTACCGCTTTAAAGATGCTGTCTCCAAACACAGTCCCATTCTGAGTGGCTGAAGGCCAGGGTTTCAGCATAGGAATTTGGGGAACACAGCTCAGCCCATAAAAAGAACACTTTCCAGAAGTTTCCTAGTTCACTGCACACACACTGCTTCCTTGAGCAGAGTCTCGATTTCCTGTCAGCCTGCAAGTGCTTGCTTTGGCCTGTGTTCCTTAGCTCTGGGAGGATCAAACCCTTAACACTGCGGGGTGGTCTCTGCGGGCGTTTTGCTACCTCCCTGCCGCGCCCCCCAGTCCGGTTACCGCTGGAGCAGAGCCAAGCAGGGAGAGGGTGGGGGTGGCCGCCGACGGACCTCGGACTAGCCTCAGCACAGGCCGGGCTGGGTTGGACAGAGCCTGGGACAGGCTTGGGGCCCCTCACTTGCACTTCCCAGCAGGGGGTCGGAGGGGAAGCATCCCTGAGCGCCCAGAGTTGTGCTCAGTGGGGGGTACGTTCTCAGGGTGATCGATCCCGTAGAGCTAGACAAAGGCACACTTGTGCACGCAGCTGAGTGTGGGAAGAGAACTTAGGAGGGGCAGCAGAAGCCAGGCTCTGAAGAAGCCCCTGTGGGGACTGGCCCATTGTCCCTTCATCTCGGGATCTCAGGCTCAGGGACTGGGCACCGCGGGCCGAGCCTTTCCAACCCTGGCGTGTACAGGGAGAGCGGTGCTCCCGGGGCTCCTGGCACACAGACGGGGCCGGACTCCCTGGTGAGTGTGGCGCAGACATGTGCTGGCTGGTGGGAGGCCTGCGAGGCTCGACTTCAGGGCCCTGGTTCCCAGACTGCCTCATGCCAGGTCCCCAAAGCACACCGCTCGCCGCCTCAGGCACACGGCCCGTGAGCAGCCGCCCTCCCTGGGCGAGGAAGGGGTCAGACCGAAGAGAGGGGAGCAGAACCTTGACCCTAGTTTTGAGTTTGGCTTTCAGGCTGAGTCCAAAGTATGTTCTAGTGACCAGCGACAGAGAAATGAGAGGGTCGGGCGGGATGATCCCATGTTTGCAGAGCGAGGACGGTAAGGGCTGGCTCGCGGCCCGCATGGCCCTGTCGGTGGAGAGACGGCTGATAAGTCTAGGGCGGACAGGCCAGCGATGCATCGGGGACGCCTCTCTGAGCACGGCTCAGCCTTCCTGCTGCTCCGGCCTTTGATTCTGGGGCCCGGAGATAGCGGAGGAGGATGGGGGGCGGGAGATGAAGCGAGCCTCTAGCACCAGAGGCCAGTGGGACAGCCTCCTCTCGGGAATTGGACACTGGAAGTTCCCCCGAGCCGGGAGGTGCAGTCCCTCTGAGCCGGCTGCCTGTGTGTCAGCAGCACCCCCCGGGGAGAGGGGAGCACCCAGAACCCCCCAGGTAGCCACACCACCTGCTCCTGGGCTATAGCGGTGAGGGTACTGCAGACCTGCGAGGCTTGGGGTGGTGTCAGTGTCCTGGGGCCGCTCTCCCCAGTGCTGCAGATGGCGGCATTAAAACCACAGAGATTCCGAAGTCTGGGTATTGGCGGGGCTGCACGCCCTCCGAGGGCTCTGGGGGTTCCGGGGCCTTCCTTGCCTTGGACAGGTATGACCTCTGTGCTGGGGTGGGGATACCGCTGCAGGCTCCCAGCGGAGAGGCGCAGCCTTGGAGGGTCCCCTCCAGTAGCCTGGAGTATCTGATGTGGGCCTCCGCCTCACGCCCATTTAATCCCGTGTCTGGGTCTTCTGTGACCCCCTAAGCGGGAGGCGTTTGTTTCCAGCTTTTTACCTTCACGAACCCCGGAGCCTCAAGGTGACCTTGTTGAGAGGCAGATCTTTCCGTTTTTTCCGGAGCATGCCTAGGCTAGAAGGGCCTTCTGTGGCAGAACGCACTTGGAAGATTCCGGAAGAAGGTCATCCTTAAAAGACGGGGTTTTCGCCCCGTTCCCGGTGATGCGTGTACTGGCAAACAGTGCCAGACCGCTGACGTGAGGGAGTGCAGCGGCCTCCTGCCCGACACCGACATCCACTTCCTCGGAGGCGGTGTGCTGGGTCTGGAGCAGGTCCCCGCATGTTCTGGAACGTTCCCTCATGCCCCAGGACACGCAGCCCTGCTCGCTTCACACCTGCCTCCTGTGGTGATTCCCCTTTCCCAGCCTCCGCAAGTCCCGGCTGATCGGAATGTGTGTGGGTCGCGTAGCCTGTGTGTCACTTTGCGGTTTCTCCAGGAAGGTCCAGAATTGCTCAATTTCTTGATTTCCTAACCTAATGGGCTTTCTTGGTTTGGGACTGAGGTTTCTGTTACTCCTCTTTGTCATGGAGGAAGCCAGAACATACTTGGTCCCGTTTTCTGATATTTTCCTCACCATGTCTGTGTGCGCGTGTGTGAGTGCGTGTGTGCGCGTGTGCGCGTGCGTGTGCGAGTGCGTGTGTGCGCGTGTGATGAGTGCGTGTGTGCGCGTGTGCGCGTGTGATGAGTGCATGTGTGAGTGCGTGTGTGCGCGTGTGCGCGTGTGATGAGTGCATGTGTGAGTGCGTGTGTGCGCGTGTGATGAGTGCGTGTGTGAGCGTGTAATGAGTGCGTGTGTGCGCGTGTGTGAGTGCGTGTG